TTCAATCTGACAAAAAAAAGCCTCATTAGAGCATGGAAACGTATTTAGTCGTTATAACACCTAAATCCAATTAAGAATATGTGGGTAGACAAGGGAATTGATGCTCAGTGAGACTCCATCTAATTTGGCTGTTTTATTTTTTCTCTGATGGAGAAATAGTCTGAAATGGTTGCAGTTGTATAAGGCGGTTATGCAAAGTATGACTCCAGCAGGACTAATAGAGCAAAAGCATATAAAAACCATGCTTTACAATTGTGCTGTTTTGTGTTGGCCTTAAAAAACCAAAGGTATATATCACATTTTGGGATTTTATCTTGACAAATTGTAAAAGAAACAAAAGACTAGCATCTGTTTCCATCCCATACTGATAATTATATTCTGTTCAATCATTTAGTCCTCTCAGAGGAGAGAATTAGTCATTAACAGCACCAACGCACACAACACAGACCAGTGCAGCATGCTCAGCACGGTGGTGAGGATGCATCCACAGTGTTTCTGAGTGACATAGCCTCACCTGAAGGGAGTTCAGTATAAAAAAGGTTGAATCAATCCATATTGTTTCTAAATAAATATCCAAGGAAATGTAATCGTGTGTGCCACTCAGCCATTGCAAACACAACATTTAAATAAATAATAAGTATGTGCTGTGTGTGCAGGTGCGCTTCTTTTCTCTTTCAACCATCACAACAGTAGGTTTATAGGCAAAATATGCAAACTAGTGGCTGTTTGCAATAAACAAATGAATCAAGAACAATTTAAGCATTTCAGTACCTCTAATATTACATGTGGTTTGTCCAAATAAAGGACACTGTGCCACTGTTAATAACCATTGCATTCTAATAATATTTCAACCCATTTATGACCAGCAAACAAACAGAGTTGTTGTTATGATCTCTAAGTCTGATTTATGGCCTGACACCAGCTTTAGGCAGTTGTTCCCTGAAATCTTAGTGTAATATGACGGTAACACTAAAGTCTTTCAGGAGTTTAACTGAACCCGTGATCTTATTGATGATTTTTCCTGTTTAAAGGTCATAGAACTTCTGTCTTCCTCACAGACAGCATACATCCTTCTCCCTAGGATTTCCAGACAGTAGATAGACTTTATCCTGTCTTCCACATAGTGCAGATTTCCAGTTTAGGAGGAAAGAAAACAGCCGCAGAGCATCATTAAATTACCTCCATGGTTCCCTATATGTTGTTCTTTTTAAAGTATATGTAATTTTTCCTCTTCCAGACATTTAATTGTGTGTGTTAAACTGAATTTATTAAAACTTTTCTGACCCATCTTTTTCAATTGTAAGGAAACTGAAACCAGCCTTTTGTGCTTTGGGGGAGTTTTTATACATCTTGGGAGTCCAGGTATGGAACCGTGTAAGGATTAAGTCTTAATATAGAAAGTAAAACTCTCTCTGTAGGTCTTTTACTGTAAATTGAGGTTATTTGACCATCAACAATCTAAAAACAGCCTTTTTTTCAGACTCAATTACACTGCTCCTTAACTTTAATTTGGATTTTTTTTTCTAAAAAAATATTTCTACGGTTAGAGTTAGGAAAACATTTGTAGCCTTTGAATTTTTTTTTTTCCTTAAAGACTAGAATTCCTCCACTGACATTTTTGTTACCAAGGAATATTCGTCTCATACAATATAAGCTTATTGTCAAAAGCCCAGGTATTTGAGGCATATTATCACCACTAATGGAACCAATGAGAGGCTTCATTAGATGAATCAAGGTAGCCTGAGAATAGAGCTGATTAGTGATGCCTGCTAGTCTGCTCTTATAAAAAAATCTGTTTAATCATCCTGAGGCTGCAGGTAGTCATTATTAAAGTTGTAATATTGGTTTTATTCACATATTTAAACTGGTCTTTTGTAATTTGTTGAAGTTTTTGTATTTTGAAATGTAAGCTTGAATTTTTTTTTATTTTTTTTTTTGGGGTTTAAAATGTTAAATGGGCAATACATTATTTTTGTGTTTTATAGTAATTCTCAGGTACAAACTACGCAATATAATTTAAGAAATACATTTTAAAAGGAACAAAAGTATAGCTGGAATATGAGTAAAGTTGGTTTTCTGGTTGTTCTGTTACTTCTATTACCCTATATCTCTAAATCTGCTGCAACTTGTGCTCTGATGCTCCAGCTGCTGCTCTTTCAGTCTGACAGGTCAAAAGTTCTCTAAACAAACTTCTACATGTCAGCAGACTAACAGAGCACACAACACCCCCACACCCGCTACCTCGGCCAATAAACAATGTTTACTATTCATCTCAGAGGTCAGGAGCTTTTTCTGTGAAGATCATCAACACAAGGTCAAGAATTCCTTAAATGTAGTCAAGCATTTGACTGCAGCTTTAATTTCTTCTTGTTAAGTGGGTCTGACATTGGGCTTTCAGGGTCGGATGTCTCAGCATTAGGCTGGAGTGGGAGCATAGACTCCTGGTTTTGTTGTGTTCCTCTTAAGGGGACAAAGTTGTTGCCGTCAAATCAGAGTGTCCAGCTCAGCATCTGTGGTCAAACGCATACGAGGGGCTGCAGCGTGGGCGCGATGGTCAGATGGTCAGTGTCAGCGAGGCTTTTGTTCCACTAGCATTGTATTTGTGCAGTGAACGGGAAAACAACAAAGGAGCCCAAATAAATCATTAAAATACACAATCCCTCTGCTTAAACATCTGACTCCTTAGTCATCCTCGGCACAGTGCCGAACAACTGACCTCAGCGGGAGAGAAGGGGACAATTAGGTCACTTCATGATTGCATTACTCAAATGACACATTAATGTCATGGTGCCCTTCATGCATTTCATCAGCGTTGGTTAATGATGAGGACAGGAAGAAAGATGAGCAGAGGATATTGATTGCTTCATGTTTCTATGATCACATTGCTCCATAGAAAGAAAGAAAGAAAAAACAAGTATCGCATACAAAAAGGTAGAATTCATTTATTTACCCATTTAAATTACCACAGGCTCCGTTACAGGAGGAGCAGTCTATTATTCTTGTAAATGATGTGTGTGGATAACAGTGTTTTGAAAATATATGTAACCTTTTTATTGCACAGTCCCATAACTCCAGCCCTGGCTGTGAGATATTTGTACACACAGTGACCGCACTACTGAGGGGTTATGGAATAACAAGGAGCATCATGCATTATTAATGGGCTCTGCTGTGAATCTGTTCAGAATAATAACAGCGATTTCCCAGAGCCTCATTACTGTGTGTTTTTAAAGCATGTGTTTGGTATCCATGGACACCCGCTCTCACATTCTCCTCCTCTTCCCTCTCCCACCCTCCTCTCTCTCTTTCTATTAGGATTCAGGTCAAGCAAAGCACTTGCTGTTTTTAATTTTCATTTCATCATAAGCACTTTAAGACTGTTGCCAGTGCTTATTTGCTATTTTCCTGCAGACCTCTTCACTCTGGGTTCTGACAGGACAGATGCCACATTTAATCACAGCAGTGAAACGGGGCACCATTTCCATCCCGAGCTTGAGAGCCAATCACTGCAATTGCAGTACGGCCTCAGCTCCGGGTTCCAGATACTTTCTGTAAGATGACTAATTGAAAACAACAGAACATTCAAACGTTCTCTCAACCTGCTATCACAGAAGCTGAGGAGTAAATTCTTGATCTAATTTGAACTACCATTAACCTGTGTTTAATATCTCCCCACTACTGTGAGGGGGAAAAAATGGTCCTCTCTTGGCCAATGGATTCAGAGTCTATTGTGCAGATATGATAATTATTGTTTGCCTGCCTTCCCTCCCCCGCTCACCATTTTATTCAAGGGAGCTCAGCAAACCCCCAGGGATGTCTTGGAAATGAAGCGATTTTGAAGGGACTAAGAAAGAGGCAGAATCCAATGCACTGGTGTGTGAGAAAGGAGACTGTTATTGAGACAAGTGCCTGTTTACATGCTGACCTCGTCCAGCATCAGTACTGTTTTTACACACAGTTACAACAGATACCCTATTCAAAACACTGAAAAACAGAAAGCAGGATAAAGGAGCCAGCATAAAGGATTCCGCTTCACTGTTATTTTTCTTCTATTAATCGTTTATAAAACATACAAATGTTTTCTTATATACCTTTTAATAAACTATTAACTTTAAATATGTACAGTGCCTCGAAAAAGTATGAATTCCCATGTATTTTTTTTTTTTTCACATTTTGTCCCCTTAGAACCAATTATTACAATATATTTTGGAACTTTAATTAATAATTGAAAGAATATGTAGGTTGGCACTTCTTTTACCTAAATAAGATTAAAAGAATGTTTGTCCATGTATTAATTGCCCCTCAGCAAATTCTCTGTAGAACTACCTTTCAACAGCTGAAAGTCTTTTTTTTATTAGTCTCTACCATCTTTGCACCTTTATAGGCAAGAGTACTTGCCCGTTCTTCTAAATATCTCAAGCTTGTCATGCTTGATTTAGATTAGAGACTACAGTAGATACAGGTCTGGACTTTGACTGGGCCATTCAAACACATGAATAGTGTTAGATCTTAACCATTTCAGTGGCTCAGTCTCAAGTCATTTTTGAGTTTTTAACAGGTTATAATATGGCATTGGATCTCAGACTAGCTTCCCTGTAGATTTGAAAATTATTCACCATGTGTTGGTAGACTTGTAGTTGTGCCATGCAATTTCCATGTTGTTGGATGATGTTTATAACAACCTCTTTTAAATTATTATTTGTAAACCTGAGATCCTTGATCCTCATATTGTTTGCTCACAAACAAATATGACCTCTTGCTTAATACATGTTCTTACACTAACATTAATTTACACATGGTAAGTAAATACGTGGCTTTTACGGGTGGTTGGCAGCACTGGGCTTTATTAAGAGCGATACATTTAAACGGAACTGAATTTGTACATGTATTTAGTTTATTATTACAATTCTACTATTATTACTCTTCCAATTATTCATTAGTTTGTTTTTGTCTTTCCAAAAAATAAAATAAAATATTTTAAAGACTGGAAAGTACTGTAACATGACAAAATGTGAAAAAAGTACATTTTGAATTCTTTTGCAAAGTACTGTAATATGTTCTCAGTAGCTAATGTGATGTGAAAGAATTTCGTAGAAATGACGGCCTCAAAAGAAACTGATTCCTCCAGATAAATATTTGATTGATAGTTTAATTTTAAACAGAGACACAAAGAAATATATAATAATACTTCATACAAAATTATGGCTACGATCATATTAATGATGGAATGCCTCTGGACTGTCTTCATGGCTGCGCGAAAACTCCAAAATTAAGTACATTTTCTACTGCAAGCTGCAAACACCTTTTTTTCCCCCCCACCCAAGAACTTCATAGTGATATCCATTTATCTTAGGGACAGTTTGCATCTGTACTTGGTGTGTAAGCAAAAATACAAACAAAATGAATTGCTGCTATTGGAACTTATAAAAAAGTATAAAAGAGCAGAAATGCAATATGTGATACAGCAATCCACAGGTCATTAAAACAATGTTTTAATTAAAGCCTCACATATTAAAACTTTACAACAGGTGATATGAAAAAAAAATGTACATTTTCTTTTTTCTCCTGTTGACTTCTGTACAACTGGCAAACAAAGAAAACAAAACAATCTCCAATACATTTTGCGTTGGCTTTGGCAGTGCAACAAACTGGCTCTGCATTATTTTTCTGTCAATATCAGTATTGGTAAGCAGAGTAAAAATACAAGAATCCATACATCATCTGCCTTGATCCTGAAATCTGTAAAATATTAAATTTTATATGCAAAAAAACCCAAAGCAACATAATTAAACTGTTATACATTTGACATAAAAGCAATAAGATTCATTTAAGAAGTTATTTTTGGGATTGAAATTCGGCAGAGACAGCCAGTTAAACCCTTTTTGGGAAAATAGTCTGGAGGGTAAATTGCTGCAAACAGGAGATCTCATCTCTTCTCTACAAAACATGTACAGCAGATTACAGCTACAGTTTGATGGTGTGATGACATAAATGATTTATGGCAGTTTCTGTCTCTGTCAGTTCAGTCATTCATCCAGATAACTGCTTCCAAAGGCCTGTTATTTCCAGTTCTCTTCATTCTTCAAAGAAATTGTCTGCTTTTGTGGCATGGCATGAAAGTGTCTTTAAATATCACCGAGCCACCCCCTGTGTGATGATTTGAGCATTTAGATTTGCAGGAAAGATGGAGGAAAGAAAGTCTTGTATATACTGGCCAGTATGGGAACAAACAGTTGATGTGTTGGTTCCTGGTTTCCAGCATAGATCTAGTGAGTCACCTAACACAGGCAAGGAGGGATACAAATGTTTTCCAAATGTCCTTGCACTGTGCTGTTCTCGCATCTCTGGCCTCATAAATAAAGCTTTATTGTTAAATAAAAGAGAGGAAGATAAATGTCTTCAGCATTTAGTGTAACCAGTAAGTTCAAATGATCAACTGAAAGACATCACAAACAACCACTGGGTTCTCAATCTAAGAAGCTGAGATCTGTTTGCAGCCTCTTCATAGACGAAACCCCAGAAAACAAGTTGACCCTCTGTACATGTATGTGCATAACTGTCTACAACAATAAACATGTTCTTTATATAACATTCTAAATTTTACACACTTCTTAAGTGCAACTTGGAAAAGCAACAATGGGTGATGCTTTTATTCTATTCCTGTTCTTTAAAATTTCCATTTGGCTCAGTAAATGCTGACCTGTGAGAGGACCTGTGCATGTGCCTGGATTTGGGAGGGGTGTGGTTGCTGCTGAGGGGCCGGCTGAGGGCTTCCAAGGGATGCAGAACCTCCTACTGAGTGAGGTGTACCAGGTGAGTGCTGGGGTGGGGAACACTGCGACTGGTGCTGCTGTTGCTGCTGCTGCTGTTGTTGGAGATGTTGGATCTGCTGCTGATGCAGTTGATGTTGCATTTGCATGTGCTGCATTTGCATGTGCTGCTGTTGTTGTTGCTGCTGTTGTTGTTGCTGTTGTTGCATATGGTGCTGGTGCTGCTGCAGCTGCTGCTGGAGGTGGTGCTGGAAATGCTGATGCTGCATCTGTTGCTGGATCTGTTGGTGATGCATCTGCTGCTGCTGCATTTGATGGTGCTGGAGGTGCTGTTGCATCTGTTGCTGCTGTTGCTGCTGCTGGAGCTGCTGCATGGCATGCTGTTGCACTGATTGCATGGGCGGACTCATCTGAGACACCGCTGTGGACTGAGCACCCGCAACCATAGGCCCGCCAGCACCCATCTGGCCCAACAGCTGCGGAGGCATCCCGGAGGACATGTTCTGGTGGGAAACTGTTACTGATGTCACAACATGGCTGCCCCCTAGTCTCATCTGTAGAGGCTTTGGAGCAATAGCCCGTGGCAGTGCTTGCTGCAGGGCCTGGGAAGCTGATGGCATGGCGGGATGCTGGTTGTGGGGCGTAGGTAACACAAGCCCAGGGGAGAGGCTGGTGGAGGCCAGGGTCTGCTGAACGGTTCGGATGGTTTGGGCTTCAGCTGATTCTGCTGCAGCCTGGATGGATTGACAAACATGACCTTTTATTTTTAAGTTCAGAATGCCTTATAGGTAATAAAGTAAAACATTTCTTAGTTTAACTTCGGATAAGGTAAAAATACGAGTTCTTACCTTGGAGACCAGGCTTGCACGGTAAGCAGCGAGGGCTTTTAAATATTCCTTCTTGGCAGCTTCTGTTTTGCTTTTATAAACCTTTAAAGGGAGAGATTTGGGTTCAAATTAGTAAAAAAAACTATTTTCAGAAAATAAAAAAATAAAATAAAAAAATATCTTAGGAGTACCTGCTTCTGTTCCTCTCCAAGGCCATCCCACATTGAGGCTACAATCTTAGACACTTCTCCAAAAGTAGCGTTGGGGTTTTGACCTTTGATAGCAGCCTGGGTATCTCTGAAGAACAGGGCATAAGCAGAAACTGGCTTTTGAGGCTCATTGGGATCCTTCTTCTTTTTCTTTTTAGGAGTCTTGGGCTTCTTTGTCGGATCCATTGGTGCTGGTCGCTTCTCTCCAATAACCTTACATAAAAGAAAAAATTGACATTTTTCTTTATCTTTTTTTAACTTTGTGGCACTTGCTGGTAGATGGACAGGAAATGCGGTGAAATGGTAAATGGCATGTACTTATATAGCGCCTTTATTCAAGTTAGGAGACTTGACCAAAGCGCTTTACACTACATTCATTCACCCATTCACGCACACACTCACACACTGATGGTGGCGGTGGAGAAAGAAGGGCAGAAAAGGTGTTTGGTTCAGGATTCAAACATTAGATGCACTTGCTTTACCCCTGCGCCAAGCCAAGCCCCAAATTTAAATAAACCTTTAACCTTACTAAAATGGTTTCTCACAATCTGTGAGACTATTGCCTATTAATTTCCTTACATATAAAGAAAAGTAACACTTGTTTTTTAAACAAGCCAGTCCAAATTGGAAGATAAGAAAAATGGGGACATCTAAACATCTAAAATAACACCTGCCTATTGCTTTACTCACCCTGTTGCTGTCGTCCTGATCGTCTTCGTTGATGGAACTGGATGGAGAGGGTGTTGCTGACTTGCTGGCAGGGGGTGATGGTGACGTATGGTTGATGTTGGGTCCAGCCATATTCAAACTCAACTGTCCATTGAGCTGTGATTGGTTGATGGTGGACAACTGATTCCGTGACATCATGCCATTAGGGCTGTTCATGCTGATGATGGATTTCATTACCATGGATGGATTGGATGGGTACTGTCGTAGATGACCAGGCCCAACATTCTAGAAAAAATAAAAGGAAGAAGTACAGAGTAAGAAAAAACATAGGAACTATTTTATCAATTTAAAACATTCTTACTAAGACATTCATTTAGTCATTTAGTTTATTTTTAACCTTTAGACAACTGAAAGCCAAACCGATATGAAACATATCTGGTTGAATGCAATGGGAACAGCAGGAAGGGGATACATATGTTGTTAAAATGGGAATTCTGATTTAGAGCAGCATAATGAATTGTTGTAAGACCAGGAACAGGATGACTAAAAGACGATAGGTATGGATGAGCGAGGAAGCGGTTTGCCCTCTTAATAATATGGTGAAGCTATGCCAATATGCAAGAAGACAACCAAAGAACAGATCCAAAGGTAATGCTTTAGATAGAAAACCCACTAAGGCAAAGAGACCAAGTAAGGGCTTGATAGTCAATTCTAGGTCTATTAACTTATTAAAGGTATATATATAAAAAAAAAACATTGACAAACTAAGTTAAGATATAGAACAAAAATGAAAAAAGGCTCAATCACTGTTAAACCTTTCATAGAAACTACTGAAAGCATTCTTACTAAATAACATTTTGATAGTCCATGTCTCTGAACCATCTTTAGGCTGTATAATAGGCGCAGTATTTGTGTCGAAATTACAAAAACCATCATCCAATACCCAACTGTAATCAGGAAAAAAAAGCGAATTTGCAGGTCTTTGAACACTCTTCTTTTTCCACAGTGACTGAGGGCTAGAGTTGAGGTATTGTGAAAATAAATAATCAGACATTTGGTTTATGTATACAGGCTAAGAATCTATTGGGATTTGTGATTGAGCAAAACGTCTCTCTCCTCTTTCTATGTGCTTTTTTTTCATTAAGACAAGTGTAGATTACAAGCAAATATTGAACATCATAACATTAAAATCTTTGCCAGCCCCAGAGGGCTGTTTGCCATAAAATAGTTTAAAAGACAATAAAAAAGCCTAGCAAGATAAAATATCAGATATATCACACGTAATCAAACAAAAGAATTGTCTTGAAACCCTAATGGGCTGTTATAACTAAAAGACTGGTGTTTTTTGTAGAACAGGAATTATTACAAATAAAAGCTCCAGTATTTTAAAGTAGAACAAGATGTAACATCTGTGTTTGGTTTTGTGCTAAATTGCAGGGATCTAGAAACTAAGACTGCTTATATTTAAAATGATGGATTATGTTTGTACTTTAAATTCAAAAGAAGTGCTTTTTATATCCAAAAAGAAGGGTTTTTAGCTTGTATTTATTTAAAGAAAAAGGTAAGTAAATTGTTCACATTAATTTTCATTACCTACAAGATTCATGAAGCCATAGCAGACACAGCAAAGAAATACAGGGATTTAAAATGGAATTGGTAAATCATCTGCATAAAGAGGTTATAGAGAATAATTAGCTATAACCTAATGTATTTTGTTTCATCTCCATTATTAGCCTACTAATGTGTCTAATACTCCTCTATCTAGCAGTACAGTGCTCATTTCAGAGAATACGTTCTACTCAATGTTACACCTTGCTGCCTGAACTCAACCTGTATTCATTTGATGGGGGGAAAAATGGGTCATAGCATTCTATTGACTGTTCTGTTGAAGATTTAATGTCAAGATGTACTAACTATTGAATATCTTTTCATTGAACTCATAAATTATCTTGACAAATAAGTGGTGGATCATCCAGCTCTGATTTTGGGTAAATCACAGCTTAGATAGGTGAGTTTTAAGGGCCAACAAAAAAACAAATGTACATAACTTTAAATAGTACATTAAGAATAGTCTGTACATGCCATAACATTAGTCTAGTAACTGCAGATATGTTTTGTTTTAAGGGTGTAAATCAACAGAAGTATTACTTTTAATACTATATATTTTACCAGGAAGAATAAGGAAACAATAATAATAAAAAAAGAAAATCATCTTTATAAATCAATAAGCTAAAGCCATCAAAGCAGAACAGCACTTCCTACAGGTCTGATTTTTTATTTTTCAAAATGAAACGTTGAGCTCTTCAAACACTCCTAAAGTTACAAACAACATGTTTACGCTGATTGTGGCAAGGATGAAATTACAAGTTCTGCTTGGTCTCCAGAGGGAAGACTGATCAGAGAGCCAGCAGAGCTGACATGAAACAGAGAAGGAGACATGAACAGAACAGAAAAGGTGATTTGTTCTCCCTGGGTACATCCATCTGCTATTCAGCAGCGCAAACTCAATCTCTCCTAACATCAACACATCATAAACCCATGCACCTGGCTTTATTGAAAGAACCTTATGAATGCCGGTCTTCAAAAACAATATTGTAACACTATTGCAGACAGGCACATATTGGATCTACAATCCATTTATTTTCCATACGCTGTGTCCTCCTTATCATAAATACAATATACCAAGTGAGAACAGATTTATATTTACATGTGCGAGCAGTTTTATGAAAAAGGTGGTGCAATGCCAGGGAAATAAATAAAAGCAATATGCTTGTTGACCTGCAGGTTTGAAAATCTTGCAAATAAAAGCTGCCGTATACAGACCTGTAACCAAATAACTATTATTTAAATATCTGCAAGGACTATTGTCATTACTGAGAACCGAGTGGCTAACAATTTGCTCTTTGTTTGCAGAGAATATCAAAGGCACACACTGAACTGATTAGTTGTGGCTGTCTGTATAAATTAATAACATTTTTTCATGCAATCTTTAAGGAGCAGTTTTGACTCCAAGCCATCAACCTTTCTGATGTCTGTTTGTAATTTGGGGATTTTTTCCAGTTGGCTACAAATTAAATGCTGCACATTTAACAAAATCAGCTTAGCTGATCATAGTTTGATACAGACTTGATTATGTTACATTCAGCATCATGAAAAATTTGTTATTTTCCACGTGTAGAAGGATCATTTATTTGCTAGCATCTTAGACTGAAAACATTGGAAATGCACTAGGGAGTAGAATTGGCCCATTTTCTCTGAATGAGCTTTGATCTGTGAAAAAAGCTTGATTTTTTTAAACCCATATCCTGTAAACACACCATAACTAAGAATTCTTTCCATTCTCGCTCTCAGTAAACATAATAAACTTTGTTTTGGTTTAGTAAAAACTGAATAATTCATTGCACTATATAAAAAATATTATAAAGTGTCCCATATATCAATGGCATTGGACTGCTTGGATGTAATATTTACTGGGTCATTATATTTCAAGGACTCTTCCATTTATAATCTGCATGCAAATAAAATAGTCGGCCAGCTGAACAGGCTTTCATTGCCCTTGATTTTGTTTTTGCTATGGATGTTTAAGCAGTAAATACTGTATTCAGTCATTGAGGAAAATAAATATTGCAATTAATTTCTCTCTAAAGTTGCAGGTCTTATGGCGACCTGTTCTAAGAAATGTATTTTTTTTGGGAGGACTGTACAACAAAGCCCTTTATCAGTGCATATTGATATAAGCCATCTTGAATAAATGCCAGTGTTATGATACTTGATTAAAATGAAAGCCTGACAATTTAGAAACATTAAGTAACAGATGTCTTGATTGTGAATATAAATCTGACAAACTTGTGTTTACCTCTGTCCCCAAGCTTGCTCATTTGCATTTTGATTGCAGTATCACCAGCAGTCACAGCAGTGAGATATTTTGATAATGATCATGAATCTGCAAATAAGTCTTTATCTTGAAAACACAGCAGCCAGATGCGCCTGCCCTTATTTAGATTTACATGTTTGTGTGGATATGTTTCCCATAAATGTTTTTTTTAAGTAAAAGAATAAAACAGCAAAAATTAACACTATATTTTTAAATGTCCTTCATATAAAGTGAGTAAGTAGCTTATTTCCCACATTACTGTTGAGCTGAGCCTCTTAAAATCTAAAAATGGAAACATGAACAAAATTAAAAAGAAGAAAAAAAAAAAGAAAATCACTTTATTGACAGTGCAAAAAATCTTTCTCACAGTAAACACTGCAGCCAGTCTCCAATGAAAACATAATACATTCAACCACTGATAAAAATCTCAGCACTGATGTCAATAAATAAACAACCTCAAATCTTTTTTTTAAAGATTTTGGAAATCTGAATTTGGGCAGAATTTATGAACAGTGGCACCAAGCTGTAACAGGCTGAAAAGAATGTTAACAAGTTCAATTTCCATTCAATCAATGCCAGAGCTCTTGGAAATGTTCCATGGCAGGAGAGGGGTAAAATCATCTATATGGTAATTATAAGGATGAATCCCCCAGTAACTTTCGCCAGCATGAAAGGTCAGTCCTATTAAAGATAGTTTATCAGCGCTCTGCACATATTCCTTTACTCTGCTTCTAAACGGGTACATGTTTTTTTTTTTCTCCCTCCATTTTCTGCAACCTGCTGAAGTCTGTACTTAAGCCAAATGAGAAAAATGGAATTCTGTACCCTGGTAAAGGCTGTAACGGCATAAAGATAAATTATTATTTTCTTCTCCCACTGTGCCATCTCAGTTAAACACACTTCACAGTCTTACCTGCTCTAATTGGGAAAACACAGAATTATGCACTTCTAACCCACAATTAAAATGCATCTTCCTCATTCTGCTCACCTCTGCTCTCAGACTCTAAACCCAACAGGCAACCTCTCCTCTCTCCAGTTTGGTAGAACCAGCGACCCATACCCCTATCTACAATTTCTCTTTATAGATTATGTGTATTTAAAACCTGTCCAACATGACATCATTTCAGTTTGAGAACCTTACAAAAAAAGAAAATTACAAAATCAATCATGCAGAAGGTCAAGCTGAGACTTCATTACAAGTATTGCATGCCTGCATGAATATTTTTCATTTCTGACTGACCCAATATGTCACAATTGCTGTCAAGGAAGAAAAAAAAAGAGGGCAGAAAAAAAAAGAAGTTAAAAAAAAAATCCACTCTCTTAAATTGATGTACAACTCATGTCAGTGCCTCTTGGCTTGAAAGGGAGATAAGAGGGATGTGTAGGAAAACAGGCTTTCTGCAACAGTGCT